CTGTGTGCCGAATCAGTTACCAGTTTGAGAACCTGCGGCCTAATCGGCAATTGGCCAACATAGTGGAGAGGCTCAGGGGGTTCAAGCTGAACCCAGAGGAGGAGCAGAAGGTATATCACTGTGCACGCCATGGAGAGAAGCTCCTACTCTTCTGTAAGAAGGATAATCAGGTCATTTGCTGGCTTTGTGAGCGTTCTCAGGAGCACCGTGGACACTCCACATTCCTCTTGGAAGAGGTTGTCCAGGAGTACCAGGTAAGAGATCAGGTGGGGGGAGGACAGAGACCATATCTCTTCTTTACACTCGTCTAATTACATTGTGTCATGGAACCGATGCCTGTGATTTGTTTCTATGCTGTGCTATGCTTACCTTCTGAGGCCTAAAGGATGGATTTTTACCTTCACTTAATTGCTAAGCCTGGAGTAGAAACTCTTGGACAGGGAGCATAAAAATACAACACCTTGTGCTAGATGTGTAGAGATTTCGAGTCCAAGAAAAACTCTCAGTAGAAGAGTGAATGAGAAGGGTTGATATATAAGTTCTTTCCTTGCTGCAAAATCAGGTTCCTGTTCTAGTGCAGAAATATTTAGACTACTGTTAGTGAGAGGTTGGTAACATTATTACCAGAGACTTAGAGAAGACACCTTCCACCCCAGGTTTTCTTCCAATTCATACATTACCATTGTCTGTTCACACAGTTTCTGAAAGCTCTGGTTTCTTCTGAGATCAACCTGATTTTTTCCAGGTTTATCGTCCCTCTAGGTCCTGAGAAAATTCTTCCCTTGACTCTGGTGTGATTCTTTTCTCCCAGGAGAAGTTTGAGGAAATGTTGCAAAACCTGAAGAGATCCAAGGAAGAAGCTGAGAAGTGGAAAGTTGACATCCAAACTGAGAGAACTTTCTGGAAGGTAGGAGGAAATACTTTCTGAGGGAATTAGCTAGAACTCTGGGCAGGATCTTTTTCTTTATTTCATGGCAGTCTATAAGGTGGAAAGTATTTGAATAATCCTCTTTGCCCTTTTCCTTTTGGAGTGGAGGCTGGAGAGTGGGTACAACACAAATGAGTACAGCTGTTTGGAGAGAGCTGTTCACAGGGAAGCACTCCAGTGAGGTTGGCTTGCATCCTGTTGCTGTGGTGCTTTTTGAGACTCTGATTCTACTGAAGGAATACTTTGGCAATGGGTCATGGTTCTGTCTTCAATGTTCAGCTTTTGGCAGAGGTTCAAGAGTGGAGTGAGGAAGTTGTAGCTGGAGAGTGGGCATCCCCAAAAGTTAAGTGGTTCTTCTCCACTGTGCCAATACAGTCGCCACCTTTTTTCTTTTTAATTCCTTCCAAACCACTTGCTCAAAGACTAAGATGCCCAAATAGCGCTGGTTGGACCTACGGGAGGATAACTCTTCTAACCAGAAGCCTGCGGGGAACATGACAAAGAAGGACTGAGAATGTGATAGAGGGTTTAGAGAGCCAGAGAGGGAGAACAAAAGCCAGAAGGAATTGTGAGCTTCAACCAATTGCTATGCTTATCAGTGCTGTATTATGACCTTTGAAAGCTTCTCATTTATCTCATTCAACACATTCTGCTTATTCAGCGCACACACTGGACATGCAGGACACAAATCACTTCTGCAGTGTATTAACCCACTCACTCGTTTACCCTATACACCTTGATACTATGATATTCTAAAGAAATGACTTCAGCTCTTTGTTTGAATAGGTTTACAGATATGCTGGTTATTTGTTATTTGTTCTGGTTGG